GAGCAGGATTTGTCTTATGGAAAAATACTGAGACAGAATAGCCACAAATATCTGTCTTACTTAGTAACATAAATTTTGGGCTCCCTTGTGGTTGTGAGTTGACGATTACCTGCAGATATATTTATGTTTATATTCTTTCTGAAATTGCCTAAAAACATTTTGAAGTTTGTATTTTGACTTAAATCTATAATACCTATTGTATTGTCTACCTGTGAATTTTTTAAAAAATACTTTGAAAACAATGAACTGGTTGATTTAAGTGACTCGTGGTCTGTAACAGTGACTGATGCATTCTGATGTCTTCTAAACATCTTTGTTGCAGAGATGCAGAAGACAAAAATTAATTAAAATGAATGGAATGAGAATTGACATAGATTATGATGATAGCTTAGTACAAGTTATTCAAGTTTCTAAGAAAAAGGTAATAAATTGATTTATATGAGGAGATATTGTTCCAAGTTGATTTTTCAATTTTTTTTAACTCAAAAATAAGAAAGGAAAAAACATTCTTGATATTTTGTATATTTTAATACTCAACTGCTATTTTATGCCATGAGATTGAGCAAATAAAAAAATGAGTTTTTAACTCACTACCTACTCTAATGCTTGGTTGAGATTTAAGAGTCTTGATGAAATTTATTATTCTGAATCTCAAAATATTTGTTGCTCAAAATCTCTATAGACTTCATTACTATCCTCTAAAATAACAAAGGATTGTGGACATAACCAATTTAGAAGTGTTAACAATATTTACCTCTCTATGATTTTTTGTTTTTATAAGGATGCTGATTAAAAACAACAGAAAAAGCTGGTATTATATATTAGATTGAAATGTTTGTGTGTTCTAAATTTTCTAAAGCCTTTAAAGCTTTAATTAAGAACTTAGTAGTCTTTTATACATGGCAGATGCATTAGCAGTTGAGTTAAAAGCAGTATCACAAAAACCTACTTTGAAATGCTTTGCAATTATTTAATCTGTTTTCCCACAGCCCTAAAATGAAATTGCTTTAGTATTCTGTTGTATTTATATAATAAGGTTTTTATGTAAATTTTAATAGATTTTTTTTTTCAAGCTGTCTACTTCTACACATTTGAGTACAAGCTATCAGTGGCAGATACATGCGAAAACATGAGCTTCCAATAAATGAAGCATTGTCCCTCATGACCCTGATACAGAAAATAGTAGAGTAAGGAATGAAATGAGATGAAACAGGCTAATCACCTCTTCTTATGTTTAATTAAAGCACATGACGTTATGGCTTCAGGCGTTCCTTCCCGGAGCAGAATGGAGTCAGCTAGCAATTGCATTTCTCCTTCCTCACAGCTTCTCAACTAATTTGTTCCCAAGAAACCTTTCGGAATAGATTTGAAAGGGGCATGCAAAGAGAATGAAAGAGTAAAAACTTGTGTGGATGGATATCTGTTTATCTAACATGGGATTCCAGGCAGGGGTAGGCTTCAAAATTTTTAGCAAAGGGTTCTCTGCCCAGTTGCTGGGTGGGTGTGGCCATGGTGGGCATCACCTAGTCAGCCTCCTGCACCACTGGGGGGGGAGCGTTCTTGCCCTTGCTGGGCTCCGGAAGCTTTCCTCGAGCCTCCAGGAGGGTGAAAATGGCCTCCATGGGCCCATTTCCGGCCTTTCCGAACTTCAGGAACCCATTTTTCACCCTCCTCAAGCCTTCCTGTGTACCCTGCACTTATCTGCATCCAAAATGTGCCATGTGGAGACTCTTGAGAGTGGGCAGGGCCGGTCAGTGGGATTTGGGGGTTCTCCAAACTGCGCAGAGTCTTACCTAGGGCCTCTTCTGAACCCCTGCAAATCCCCAGCAGCCCACCCCTGATTTCAGTCCATATTTTATGCCCCCACAGTTTTTTTCCCTCCCATTGAGTGAAAATTCTTTGCAGCCTATCACCTTACTGATGTAATACCATGGCAAGAGGAAGAAAATAAACATATGTATTTGATTTTAATATTTTTTGTGTGAGCAGAGATCTAATATCTTCTAGAAGTCATCAAAAGTTGTACTAATTTTATTACATTAATGGAAACCTGAATCTTATCAATTTATTTATTTAATTTATATCCCTCTTTTATTATTTTTATAAACAACACAAGGTGGCAAATATAAATAATGCTCCTTCCTCCTCTTATTTCCCCCACAACAGCAACCCTGTGAGGTGGGTTGGGCTGAGACAGAGTAACTGCTCAAAGTTACCCAGCAGGCTAAAGTGGGACTTGAATTCATGGTCTCCTCCCAGTTTCTAGGCTGATGCCTTAACCACTAGACCCAACTGGTCTCATTTTTTTTTTAAAAAAATGCTTATATTTCTATTTATCATAACCAAAATACATGGCTGCTCATAGCTTCCTTCAGGAGTAAAGACCAGAGCTGACATTTTATTATAGGTTGGATAGCTGATTTAGATATCCATATTTTGGGGAGCTTGTTTTTGGGAAGACACTGCTGGCTGAACATGGAGCATCATGTAACTTTTTTCATATTGTTTTCTATTTTGTAAATGTTGCTGTAATCATAATAGATTATATTTTAGGTACAATGATGTTTGTACGGTATTGACTGAAAAATATTAACACTCTACTGTTCAGATAACAGACTGTTGAGGATGAAAAGAACATCGTGTATCATGTAAGCTATTGATTCCTAAATGCTAACATTCATTCCCTGCACATATATTTTCAAACATATTTACAGCTGGGGAAGAAAAAAGAAATTTTAGTAAAGAAAACTAATTGTTTTAGAATTGCCTATCAATAAATATACTTTCAAAGCTAATTAGGAAGCTAAAGACTCATCTGATGATTAAAATATGTAAAATAACATGAACATAAATTCTGTGTTAATATGTTATTACAGCTTGATATTCACAATATCTAACCCTGTTGACATTCCAGAAATCTCTTAAAACATGGATGTTCCAGCAGTTTTAGGTATCCCATGGAAATAGGGAGCTCATAAGATGGTTAAACTGTGTGTGGTATGCTGGTCAATACTTCCACAGTATTTCTTATATTTGTGTTTGGTGATTTTTAGGCTTTTTAAAAACTGCTTTATTGTCCCCTACCCAATTCCACATTTGTAAGATGAGTGGCTAAATAAATTTGATAAATAAATAACAAAAATGAAATATTTTATGGATATTTGAGTCACATTCCACTTTATCTAACCCATTTCTGTTAAAAATCACTTAATAGCTGAAATGCTATGAGGGTGTTTCTCTACATGTCCATTTAGCATAAGACATATCAAACTTTGATCATATAGGGATTATTTTCTTCTACAGAAAAAGAGACGAGGGCAGGAATAATTTCTCTGACCAGTAATATCCTCTATTCATTGCAGAAGTCCCTCTAAAATTTATCAACCCATGAGCAAGTTAGCCAGATTAATATAGGTGTATAACATTCTCAGAAGAACAGTAGCATCTGGTACATTTTAATGATGCTCAAGTAATACCTATACATTAAATGTGGATTCTTTGAACTAAACTAGCATACCGTTTGTAATTCTTAAACTGATTTTGAAGCTAATTTTCCAAATTAGACATTTAATAATCAGTCATAGATACCTAGAGAACCAGTTTAGCTAGAGACCAGTTTAGCGGTCTCTAGCTAAAAAGCAGGAGACCATGAGTTCCAGTCCAGCCTTAGCCAGGAAAAACCACCTGGGTGACCCTGGGTCGATTGCTCTCAGGCCAATTCAACTCACAGGGTTGTTGTTGTGGGGAAAATAGGAAGAAGGTGTGTAGGGTAAATTTGCTGCCTTGAGTTATTTGTGAAAATAATAAAAGCAGGAAATAAACAAAATAAATAAATAATACAAAGTCAGACATGGGCAGTCTATGGGCATGCCATATTCCTAATTGCTTTATAATATTTGTCACTAACCATGAATGAGTAATGAGTACCAATGAAATTATATATCCTGTTGCCTAGATTACAGCACTTTTAATGTCATACTTATACCTCAGATCCACAAAGTGTTTTTCTATTGTCCATGGTGTTTATATTTTATAGGTGTTGAAAATTCATGCTGGTTTGAAAGGGGAGTCAGGGAGTAAAGGGGGTGCTAGAATTATTATCTAAAAATATGTAGTTATTATAAAAATGAAATGGCAAAAAGTCTTGACATTTCCATATGGACCTCTAACATATTTGTTCTCTCATTATATAGTGTGTTTTGCATAGCTGTGTATTCAAATTTAAGGACCTTATCTTCTGTGATATTCACATTTTGAAAATTATTTGAAAGAAAAAGAGACACTGTTTTCATTATTCAGTTCATTATGGCAACACAATCTTTCTTCAAGACTGAAAAAACACAGATACACTTAAATGAATATTGGACGGAGTTGTTTTCCAATCTCCGAAGCATGTCTTTTAAATAATTTTTGAAGCATGCACAATACTTTATGTCTAGTATGTTGTTGATGCAGATCAAAATTCTTGCATAATGATTCGTAACAGAAGAAATAAGTTTCACAAATGGAACTCCTTCATGGCATCATAGAATTGGAAAGGTCAACAGAACTCATTCAGTTCAATATTCAGTGTGGAACCTGCTAAGAAAACGGAATATAACACTTTATGAGGCAATCTGCAAAAATTCTAATATAGATCTTGAATCTAATTCCCCATAATATTAGCCCACTGATTCTGGTTTTATCTTGTTGAGCAACAGGATTGAAATAGCTTTAGAAATCTGAAGACTACTGTTATTGCTCCTTAGTCTTCTTGTCTGTCCAGGTAAACATATAGCAATAGCATTTAGACTTATATAGCATTTAGACTTATATACTTCACAGCCCTCTCTAAGTGGTTTACAGAGCTAGCCTATTGCCCCCAACAATGTGGGTCCTCATTTTACCAACCTCGGAAGGATAGTATAATCAATGTTAACATATATGTCTTTGGTAAACATATAACTTAGAACTGACTGACATCTTTGTGTCTTTTAATGAAGAGAATTTTGGCAATGTCACAAATGCTTTTTGCTCTATGTACCAAAGGCCCATAATAGGAGAATAATCTTTTGGTAAACATATGTTAATGTCTTCGGTTATAGATGAATCTGTCATTTTTCATATTTGTTTCAAACAGATAAGAACAGTAGTGCTCTTTTAATGGCGTTCTTGTATTGTTTTCCCTTCAGCCAATCCAACTTTAGTGAAGGAGGATGAAAACTGCATCTACCTTGCTGGACACTCTCTTGGTCTTCAGCCAAAGAAAATTAAAACTTATTTGGATGAAGAACTTGACAAGTGGGCTAAAGTGTGAGTAGTTCTCTCAGGTACAATACAGTGAATATATCTGTTTGAGAGCAATGTATTGAAGATGAATAAGAGAATATTCTATTAAATATTCTCTTTTCTAGGAAGACTACCACAGTATCCTAAAAGAATATTACTTTAAAAGATCTGAATTATTTTATTTATTTATATTCTTTTTATTATTCTAAATAATAAAACATCAAGCACACCAGAAGTGGTATTCAGCAGGCTCTGACCAGTTCTGGAGAACCACTAGCGGAAATTTTGAGTAGTTCAGAGAACTGGCAAAAACCACCTCTGACTGGAGAATTTATAGTATCCTTCCCCTGCCACGCCCACCAAGCCACGGCCACAGAACTGGTATTAAAAAAAATTGAATTTCACCACTGAAGCACATACAATACTCCTTCCTCCTATTTTCCTTACTACAACAACCCTGTGAGGTGAATTGGATTGAGAGAGAATGACGAGTCCAAAGTCACCCAGCTGGTTTTTCATGCGTGAGGTGGGACTAAAACTCACTGTCTCCTAATTTCTAGCCTGGTGCTTTCACTACTATAATATAGGAAAATGAAACAATTGCGGTAAGTTTTTTTTACATAACTTCCATTTGGTTAGATTATTTGAAGAGTACAATCAAAATTTCAATGACTGCAATTTAAATAATTAGGTCCTATATATGCTTACCCACTAGTAGTTCTGACTGTTCAACTGAAATTACAATTATGTGAGTGAGTATAGGACCTTGATCTATTTTATTATAGAAGTTAGGACTACATTGTTGAACCTTTATCCTGGTTGTGTGATTCAAATCCTCATATTATATATTTTAGTCTCCAGTCTTTATCATATATTTCCTTAAAATACTGTTTTCTCTTTTAAAGAGCAATCCATACAAAATGGTGTTTTTTCTGGACTGTGTATCTTGGCATATGCTTTCTTACTCCTAGACCAATTTGAGTGGGACAAGATCTTTGCAGCTACAGGCTTTTGCCAAGGCATGTAATTTCTGGTTTTGAGATTTTAAAATTTACGTTTTATAACATGAACCAGATTAGGTCTGAACTTTTGACTGATTCAGAATTTAGTAGAGTATCAATCCAGAAAAGTGTATACATTAATATTTGGAATTTTGCTATGATTGGTAAGATCTTTTTTGTGTTCCATGTTGCCCAACTTAATTTTCTTATTCTATTTTTAAGAAACACCCAAAACCAGCAGTAATTATTTCACTATATCATCAAGTGCATTATATCATTACATTTTTGATTGTTTAAAATTGTAAGACTGTTTTCACATGAAATAAAATTAGCAGAACATTAAGGTATCTTCAACATTAAAATAAAAATATGCTCAAGTTGAAGATAAAGATTTAAAAATAATGTATGTTTGATCCTCAATAACCCATTTACAAACATGCTATATAGAAATGTAGCAGTCCAAAATCAAACTTGAACAAAAAAGAGATGAGAATTATTTTGCTTGGTTTGATTTTTTTTGATTACTATTTTATGAAATTCACATACATGAAAATATTATTCCGTCTTTACACATTTCTAAATTTGAGGATGAAGTTCTCTGTTTAAATATGCATATAAAAATCTATACATTGTGGAAATTTAAAAAAAAAGATATTTTAAGGAAAAGTTCTTGCAAAGTGAATATGTTCTGAAAAATGTCTAAAGAAATAAGCACGTTTCTGTGCATGTCAAAAGTTATAATTTTTGTCTATATTTAAAAAGAAAAGGAACAAAAAATTATGTTCATACCAGATGGAGCAAAATTAGGAATGAAAACCATAAATGTTAAGAGGAAAAAAAGATGAACCTGTCTACTAATACCAAAATGTGTTATTTTACATTGTTCTTGGTAAATAAGCTGAGGAAATAATCCATAGCCATTTCTTCAATCATCACAATTCCAGAGATTTTATTTCTGCCTTTTATTTTGAGTAGAAGAACTTTGTAAGCTTAGTTTTTAATCCATTAATCAAGCTGTTGATTATTACATTGTATTAAAGCTGCTATCTTGTACACATAGGAAAATAATTCTTATTGAATTCAGTGGAACTCAACTGTTTTACTATAAGTTTTCTGGTCAGTGGCCAAAATAAAATGATTGACTGAGTACTATAAGTCTGAAAAACAACGCTTATGCAGTTTTTCTTTAAAGCAGAAAATCAAAGTCAATAAAAGTGTCATGGCTCCATTTAAAATCATTGTGAGGGAAAGAAAGGGTGAAGGAGAACATTTTAACTTTAAGTCATATTCTTCTCTGTATTAATCTAGCGTAACTCTGCACTTTGCCAGCCACTTAAAAAATGCAGTCTTATCTATTTTTCTGTGATTATCATAGCAGATCAAAGCAATTGCTAACTTCACCGAAGAGGTAAAAGTTAAATAGCTCTTTCCTCCATTCATACGAGACCTGCAGAAGTAATATTTAATCTTCTATAACTTGCTATTTCATTAGTTGATTTTTCCATGCATGAGTCATGATAACAAAAGGATTTGAGGATGAAAAAAATATATTTACCATTTGTTGAAGATAGAGCAGTTGTCCAAATGTGATTCACAATAATACAAGGTATTTGTGTCGGAAGCAGTGAAGGATGTGGCAACATCACCTTTGGTTCAAAACTTTGTAGAATACTTTGTAGAATATAGAGGACTATTTTGTAGCCATACAATTCTGCCTGTGAGAAAGTTGTTAATAAAAAAAAAATTACAAATCAAATAATCAAAGGGTCTTTACCCTTGGCATGATTCATATGGCAGGTGCAGGTACCTTTGTTGGACCCCCTACATTAGTTTCTTATTGGCAAATCTCACAGGTTTTGAAGTCCTTCTCTGACTCTTGTGAGGTTTTGTATACAAATGCCAAAATCTGACAAGATATAAAAAAGAGTATATTTGGAAAACGGCGGAAATAGGAAGAAGGAGAAAAAGAACAGGTGGAAAGAACGGTATTGTACACATGGAATTCCAAACAAAAACACTCAAAGTAGGCTAAGACATCAAAAGTCAGGATGATTCAGAATGAAAGCAAAGTCATGCATTTTTAGATATTGGAGATAAGTGAAACTCAGCCTTTTAATATTTTCTTCCCCAGTAATTTGATATCTTCATTTCAGGTTACAGTAGATTAATAAGAAAATATGACAAGAACAAAAATGGCAACTTGTTAATGCCTAAATTTATGGGCATTCTCAGCTAAGTATAACAGAACAACAAAGAGTTGGAAGGGACCTTGGAGGTCATCTAGTCCAACCCCCTGCTAAAGCAGGAGACCCTATACCATTTCAGACAAATGGTGTCCAATGTCTTCCTAAAAACTTCCGGTGTTAGAAGTCAGGATGATGAGCTTCATATCCATTTCTTCAATTATTAGGAATCCAGTAACTACATCTATCTGTTTATGGAGATTTTCAGTCATCTACATCATGGTTGTCCCAAAGATAGTTCCCCCCCCCCCCAAAAAAAAAAAAAAAAAAAAAAGCAACTGGACTTTATGTTTCTGTGAAGAAGCTTTTTGGATGAGCAACAAAACGACTTCAGGGAAAAACAAAGTCCAGCTGCCTTTTGAAAAACCCCTTTGGGACTCTATGTCTACCTTTTGTTTGCTTTGAATATAGCAGCACTGCTGTGTTGTTATTTGGCCCTTTAGAATGGAGGAAGGTACGAAAAACAAGTCATTTTTTCTTCAGAAATGAAGATCATTAAAACAAACAAACAAAGAATGATTTCTCAACACTTTAAAAAGTGGTACTCTCTACATGACCAGTACAACAAATAGCCCAAGGATTGTTTGCAGTTTGCCAAGCACTCTTGTACAGCCCATCTTTTTTTTGTTTAAGGGAAATTTAGAGCCGTTGCTGCTACCACTGCTGCCCCAAAAAACACTCTGCCAAGCATCTCAGCCCTTGCCATCATCTCTATCACTTTTGCTGTTCTGCCAATCACAGAACAGCTGGTCAACAATCTAAGTAATTCCTTATCATACATAATAATGTTTAATTTCTCAGTGTGGCCGTTCCTCTCTGTCAAGTCATGCCAGCCTATACATTTTTACCTTTTATCTGGAGAGGAAAAAAACATACATGGAAAACTATGTCCTTTTAAAATCTCATGCTGGAGATGTAAACAAGTTTTTTCAGCCAGATCTTCTGTCCTATAAGTTGTGTCTTACTCTTAGGAATGTAAGGATATAAAAGTTATTTGCAATAGCCAGAATCATTGGCAATTTATTTCTGTTTAAGAAAACATTGCACATTTAGTTATAAAGACATGGGCAGCTATAATGAGCCTCGGTGGCGCAGTGGTTAGAGTTCAGAACTGCAAGCTACTCCTACTGCAATTTGGCAGATCGAATCCCACCAGGCTCAAGGTTGACTCAGCCTTCCATCCTTCCGAGGTGGGTAAAATGAGGACCCAAATTGTTGGGGGTAATATGCTGACTCTCTAAACTGCTTTGAGAGGGCTGTAAAAGCACTATAAAGCGGTATATAAGTCTTAAGTGCTATTGCTATTTCTCTAAAAGGGGGTACTATCCACTGAAAAAAATGGATCCAGCAGAAAAGCACCCATTTGTTGATTTCCAGTTACAGCCTGAAGGAAGTAGAAGATTCTGACTCCAGTTATGCTTCCAAATTAGTTGGAAGTGATAGACAGTTTTCTGAATGGTTGAATCAACTCCAAAATCTGTACCCATCCCAAATTTGCACTTATAGAAACTAGCAGATAAACATTAAAGTCATATAAGCACAATTCAGTTTCAAATATATCTTGCCAAACATAAATTCAGAAGGAGAATGTTGTGTGAAAAGAGGGAGAACATTGTGTGAAAATAACAGGTATGTTCCAGATAGTATTATTTTAGAGAGCCTAAAGAAAAGTAAATGTCAAAATCGGGCCAAGCCAAAAGAGGACAGTTAGAGAAAAGCAAGTTATATTTAGAAATGTCACCACACAAATCCAGCACAAATCCAAAAAGTGGAGGTCTAA